ATATATATATATATATATATATATATATATATATATATATGACTTGTTTACTTCCTGAGCACTTCATTAAAAGTTGTCTAGTGGTTGATGATATATTTTATCAACATGTCAAACCAACAAACACATATACAGACATAGGTGATACTATTAATAAACAGGCTCATTTCACCTGGCAGAGTGAAATGAGACCTCCTGTGTGCACGTCCTCTGTGGAGCAACACTGTGGAATAGAGCTGCCTGCTGCACCATCAACGCAGCATCCAACAATCCAAAGCCGTACCTGCAACAAGCAGAAAGAGCACTCTTCAGTTTGTGTTTGTGGTCAACATATCCATGCTGTTGCATGTACATCCTCACATACATGTGCTGCAGGCGCAGACAATGTGCTAATGGCTCCAAACACGAGGAGGCAACAAGTCGGCAATGGAGGCGATGCTGTCCGCAGACACATTCACTTCCTACCGACTCGGCTGCTGTTTGTGCTGCCTGTAATTGTCTGGAGGATTGAATTGGTGCAATGTTCCATCTTGCCGACTGTAATCAAGCCTCATTATTCATTCCTTACCACCCCAATTTTGCTGGAGACACAATGGGTGACCTTTAAGCAGTGCCTCCGCCTGGTGACTGTATGACCACTGCCTGATCATCCTCTCATTTCCACTTTACTAATCATCACTTTTCCAGCAATCTTCTCTCATTTTCCCTCTTTGCTCCATCTTTTCCAGCAGACATCTTGAGGTTCAGCGTTCACTTTAATATCTCCTCCACTCTCCTTCATCAAACCAAAATATCTGCTCTGTGTCTTGATGAAGCTGAAATCACAGTTTTCATAGTTTCTGCCTAATATCCCGTCAAATCTTACATTTTTATGCACTTTCTCTTTGATTTTTAGGTAAAAAAGCAATCTTCAGACTGAGTAACAAGGAATCTCCATCTCCTCTCTCCTTTTGGGAATTCAGAGGGGGTAACAAACAGCTAATTTTTGCCATTATTACCATTCAGACCATGTGCTGTTAATCTGCAATAAGTGAAATTCATTATCCTGATGAAGGGGTCTTTTGGAGCAGCGAAGAGAAGACAGAGACGGGAGAAAGATGAGCGTGGATCAATAACTCAATCTGTTGCCCTGCATGGGGCTCTATCAGCTCTGTCTCAGACTGTCAGAGCATCTGCGGAGGAGATGCTGGAGCTGCAGCCCACACTGTCGTCCTCCTCACAGCACGCTGTGCAATCAATGGACACAATCTAATCAGCCACTATCACCACCAATGACTTTTAGCATGTAGAGGACCAAGGATAATGGCATTAGGCAGACCGGTGTGCAGGGTTAAATTGAGCAATGTATGTTCAAGGGCATTCAGGGGTTTGTACAGTCCAAGCAGACAGACAACAGGTGGAGAGAAGAAGAAAAGTGCTTTTTATATCAATAGTGTAAAAGGTTAGAAAAAAAATGAAAGTAGACAATCTTTAGTGAATTACAACGAACGATTCAAGAATTTCAACCTCTGTTGTTTCCTCATAGCTGTGATAAAAATAATTAAATTCAATTCAGTTTATTTATATAGCACCAAATCGCAACAAAGTGGGCTCAGGGCACTTTACGGAAACATTCACGTACACACAAAAGCCAGTCAGTAAAGTTCTCTATCTAAGGAAGACAAATCTATCTAATCGTTTATTAAGCAAAAGGTAGACTGAGGCACACTTTTACTATAATTTTGGCAAACAAATAATTGTTTTTAAGTGTTACTCTTGCTAAATTCTTGTTAAAGTCCTCCCGTGCACGCTCCCGCAGCCCCCATTTGGCAGTCCATCAATTTTTGGCACAACACCGGCCCACATTTCCAGGTTATCAGTGGTGACGCATAATAGATGCGATGTATATGGCGAAGCGACAGGGCGGTGCGACGGGTACGGCGGAAAATACGGTACTTAGTGGTGACCTTTGTACCCTAAATTCCAGCAACACCCCCCACAGAATGCCTCATGGAACATGATGAGTGTAAGTCTTCTCCAGATCTACAAAATACATGTAGACAGTCATAGCAACTCTGCAAGAGTGAAGATCGAGTCCAACGGTCCTCTGTTGCACAGCCAGCCTGGAAACTATATTTCTTCTCCTGAACCCGAGGGTCGACGGTCGATTGGAACTTCTCTTTCAGAGCAAACTCTCCTAAGAAGGCAGAGACGTATCATCCTTTTCTAAATATTTTTATTTTTTTAAACTGAAGACAAAATTATAATTGTTTCAGTTTGCTGTGAGAAAGTAAGGCTGGTTCCTTGGGTTTTAAAGCTCATTAGATAAGGAAACACAACGTGTTTTAGGATGCTTGCAGACAGACTTTTAGCGCTCAGACAAGATATCATTGCAGCCGTTAGTTTGTCTTTCACGACAAACACAATTAAAACAGGAGAGATCTGGCACAAAGGCTGCAATGTAAACAGAGAACTACGGTTTCGCATAAAGTCTCAGTCCAAATGTTTGGATGCACCTCCTTATTCAAAATGAATTAGGAAGCAGATAAACACTTTATTTGTCACACATCACACCTAAACAAGTTAATTATTTCAGGGAAGTCTATGAAATCTAATCACAATAGAGCAAAAGCAGACGAGCACGTTTGAATTCACCGACTTTACATGCAACCAAACCTTCATCAGCTTCAGAGCCCCCCCCCCCCCCACACACACACACACACACACACTCCACATGTTTCTGCACATCGTCAAGAATGTTAAGCCTCGCTGCTTTTAAATGTTGGTAATAATCTCACAATAGATCTGTTGGAACAGTTTAGCAGAAACTAAACATCTGCTTCATTTGAGGAAACAGCTAAACTGTGGACTCAACTCTTTTCTCCTTTTGTTTTGACTTAGTGATCGCATTTGGCACAGAGTGCATAAAAATCTGTCTCAAAAGCATCATTTTGATCAAAATGTTGTTATTGGGCACCAAAAGTCAGACTTATGAGTTTCATGAAGAGAGAGCCATGCTGTCATCATCAGATAACTGTTGGGTGGAGGAGGGTGGTTTTACTCTAACTGCGTGTTGTGGTATTCAGAAATAGCAAATTATTGTAAAAATTGTAAAAAAAAAAAAGTCCTTAAAAACTTTGCTTTGAATCAAAGCACCTGCCCTTTCTGCCATTGTTCAGAATTAAAGCAAAAATATTAAAAACATTTTGGGACGCTGTCATGTTGTGTTTTTGAAACCAGAGTCTGCTCACTGGGAATGTGGGCCTGCACCCGCCATATGAAAGTACTGCATACACCTCCCAACTCCCTAACAGAGCAGTGGAACATGACACTTATTAAGCCTTAAAAATATAATAAAACTTTACAAAACTGATTTACTTGTTTGGTTTATTGTTTTTGTACTATTAGTGCTTAGTGTATTTCTTAGTTCATATCTTAGATCTTATTACTGTTTGTCTTTACAATTTATACTTTTGTTGGACGTAACTGTGTACACAATTTTGTTCCATCACATGTACCACATGTGATGTGAATAATAATAACGAGATGGTGTAGAGGCAGGGCAGCCGGCCCGGGACCTGAAAGTCCCAGGTTCGATCCCTGGTCACTGCACACCTTGTGGTGTCTCTGGGCAGCACACCTCATCCCTAAAATGCCACCAGGCGCTTTCAATAGCTGCCCACTGCACCACCTGGTGGTGAATGGGTTAAATGCAGAGATTAATTTCGCCATTGTATGGAAACATAGTGATGACATTATTATTATTATTATTATTAATAAAGAAACCTTGACCTTGATCCTTGAAAAGGGGGTGGGATTTAAAAACTTGTACTTGAGCAAGCCACTAGGGAGCGTTCATCTTTTGTGGATAACCTACTAAATACTAGATTTACTAATTGCAAAAATAAACATATTGAAATTTTACCACATGCAGCAAAATGAAATGATTTTATAAGTTTCTTCATGAATTCTTTATATATTTGGGCGTGCATGTCCTCTGGCATCCATAAAAGGACACTGAAGCACCTTTAACACCCTTACGTCCCAATTGCTAGACTGCCACCATCATCCCAGTCCCAAAAAGCTCTACAGTGACTGGTCTGAATGACTATCGGCCAGTGGCCCTCACCCCGATAGTTGCTAAATGCTTCGAAAAACTGGTCATGACTCACATCAAAACAACCATCAACATCAACGAGGACCCTCATCAGTATGCATACCGTGAGAACCGATCAACAGAGGATGCAATCTCCTCTGTGGTCCACACTGCGCTCAACCACCTGGAGCAGAAAAACTCTTACGTCCGTATGCTCTTTGTGGACTTCACATCCGCCTTCAACTCCATGATCCCCCAAACCCTGATGGACAAACTATCCACACTAGGACTAAGCCCCTCCATCTGCAACTGGGTACTAGACTTTTTAACAAACAGACCACAGTTAGTGAGGATCCACAACCTCTCCTCCACCATAACCCTCAGCACTGGCTCTCCTCAGGGATGTGTGTTGAGCCCCCTTCTGTTTACTCTGCTCACATATGATTATGCAGCTACCCATCCATGCTGTCACATTGTAAAGTTTGCAGATGATACAGCGGTGGTGGGATGCATCACAAACAATGATGAGTCCAGCTACGGGCAAGAGGTGGAACACCTGGAGAGCTGGTGCAGAGAGAATAACCTTCACATCAATGTGAAGAAGACAAAGGAGATGATTGTGGACTTCAGAAGGAACAAAAACACCTACACCCCCCTGAACATAAGAGGATCTGCGGTGGAAGTGGTCTCCAGCTACAAGTACTTGGGTGTACACATGAATGACAACCTCAGCTGGAGCAACAACACCACCAGCCTGATCAAGAAAGCTCCTCAGAGACTCTACTTCCTCAGACGGCTGAGGCGAGCTGGTCTGGGAAGCTCAGTCCTCACCTCCTTCTACAGGTGTGCAGTGGAGAGCATCCTGTGCTCCAGCATCAACGTGTGGCATGGAGGCTGCACAGCTGCAGAAAGAAAAGCTTTGCAGAGAGTGGTGAGGGCTGCACAGAAATCTGTTGGAATCAGTCTCCCCACCATCACAGACATCTACACCTCCAGATGCAGGAAGAGGGCCACCTGCATCATGAAGGACCCCACCCACCCAGCACACACACTTTTTGCCCCACTCCCCTCAGGAAGGAGGTTAAGGAGCATTAAGTGTAGAACCACTAGACTGAGGAACAGCTTCTACCCTGAGGCTGTTAGACTCATGAATCTCTAACTAGAATAATCACTGTGAAAAACCATATCATGTTGCTGCTGATCTGTTT